ACAGGAAATTCAATCCTGTCCTTCCCTACAGTCACACAAGACTCAAGGGAACTGCCTGTTCCCTGGAAAACAGGAGTGACCTTCTAGTGTTTCCCTTCATGGTCACAGCCAAACATCAGCTTTGGCAGGGTGACGGTTTCTACTACCGTGAGTTCCAGTGCCTGGAGTCTGGCCTCTCTTACGGCCCATGTAGCCTTTTCTCTAATGTCTTCCTAGAGGAGATTCCCATTCCAGCTGTTCCCAGAACCTACTGACTTCCCCTCCCCGTCCCCCAATTTGGGGGGCTTTCTCCTTTCCAGAATTCAGACTTGTGGGGAAAAGGCTAGCTGCTTCCAACCTTCAACACACATCATCCCTGAATGCCAAGATTTAACTTAGGAAAATGGGTGAAGAAAACCCTGACCATTGGGAAGGGTAAGCCTTTCACCATCTCCAGGTGGCTGTTTCCCCATTTGTGAACTGGGAGAAAGAAGGTTGTGAGGATTGGTTTGTAATAAGTTCTTAGCCCTGTGCATGTGACAGCGGTCAGGGATGGCACATGTTTGTCTGCAGTGGGCTTACCTGCCTCATGACTTCTGTGACCAGCACAGGCTCCCTTGCAGAGAATGTCTCTTCCCCAACTGTTCTAGCCAAACGCATACAAAAGGAGCTGCTGCTTTATGCGAACCACCTGCCAGCCACAGTGAGCCGTCTGCTACAGGGTGGCCAATAGGACGATTCCTTGACGATGGGGACCCATAGGCCAAGGGTTGAGGCCATGGCCTTCACCATGAATACATAAACTATTAAATGCCATGAGAGAAAAGGACAGAGGGATCAGACCTTGTCTGAGAAGCTCAGTCTAAGGTTGTTGAACTCTGGGCAGTCACTTTTCGACGTGGGGCCTTAGGTTCTCCCTTCTGTAAAATGAGGAGTAGGAAGCTCCACCTTTGGGTGTTGGAGGACTCCTCTCACCCAGTCGCTTCATTTCCAGGCTGCTTGTGAGCTCTGAAGGCCCAGCGTGCAGGGTACTGTCTATATCCAAGCTCCCTGCTAGTTTACTTTTGGCTTCCTGTTTACACACCTCCTTGCCAGATACATAACAAAACAAAAGAAAATGCAGTCAGCTGCCAAGGAAGTGCTGGCAAAACTGTGAGGGCTACTACAAGTTTGTAATTCTGAAATCCACAGTGCTCTGAAAAACAAGTTCTTTCCTGAGTTTGTTGCCAAATTCATCTGGAAGCAATATCTGACTTGAAATTTGTATGAGTACCAATACAGCTCATTGTGGACGTTAAGTGCTTTCCCCATAGGTTCTAGACCCTGCTGTGGATGTTTTTAAAAATACATTTCCTCTCTAAAATCTGAAAATTCCTGGCCACAGGGACTTTAAATCACTATATTGTATTCTCAAGAAATGGATTTTTCTATGTGATTTTATAATCCCAACAGCCTTGTAATACATGCAGAGTGGTATCTTCCTGATTTTACAGATGGGCACTGTAGTGGTTTTTAGTGTAAGTAATGGCCAAATCAAGAGAAATCTTGAAATATGGCTGAATTTGGATGAGTGGGATGCAAAGAGGTAACATGATTTTAAAGCCTATATGTTTTGAGCAAGAGGATTCTGAATCAAGTACATACTTTTAGACTACTTCTTGGTTGAAATAGAAGTATGGTGTATAGTCCGAGATAAGGAAATGCAAGGCCAGGTACTATGGGAATTTGGGCTCTATGTTCTGAAAAGGAGTATTTAGAAGTACTGGTGAACATTAATGTGGATCCAAACATCAAATTAAGTCCACTGCTTTCCCTGTTGGCCTATAGGATATATCTTGTCAACACCAGTCTTTATTTAAAACTAGAGGCCTGGTGCATGAAATTCATGCATGGGGGCTGGGGGTCCCCTCAGCCCAGCCTGCACCCTCTCCAATCCAGGACATCCCTCTTACAATCCTGGACCACTGCCTCCTAATCGCTCACCTACCTGCCTGCCTGGTCACCCCTGTTCCCTCCCCCCGCCCCTGGCGGCCTGATTGCC